TCGCCATCGCCATCACCATCGCCATCGCCATCGCCACCGCCGCCTCCACCGCGCAAGATACTCCTCTCGCCGTTATCGATTAAAACGCCCCACCTGCTGGAGGTTATAAAAACCGAAAGGGCCGTTCCGCTTGCGTACTTTACTCTTACTGCACGCGTGTCCGTGTGGCTGTGCGCCTGTGTGTGTGTCTGTGTGTGATTCGAACTCCGTAAATCAGCGTCGGTCGGTCGGTCGGTTGGTTGGTTGGTGACCTCGCGCGACGACTCCAACACACGACCAGCAATTATTCATTCCGCGAGCTTCCGAATCTTGTTACGTCTCGGATATGACAGCGATATTCTACCTCGCGACTCTCCCGGCGTTCCCTCCCCTCCCCACTCCTCCCCGCCGCTCCGGCACTCGACTGACATTCAATTTTAACCGGTTATAATCTGACATTCGTAGATTCACGTAAAATCCTATATTGGCTCTATTATTAAACCCTCTGCCAATCGGCTGCGGCTCGCGAAAAACGAATATCAGATTTATTTCACATCGAAGGAGACATTATTAGCATTACTCCGATTTTTGAAATTAATCTTTCTCGCCAACAGAAAAGTCTCACGCTCAACAATTTCTACCCACGCACATCTTTTCTCAGAGACGAGATTCGATTGTCACTGATGTTTAAATGGACCACCCTGTATGCGTAAGCCTCATCGAACATCGTATACGGACGACATACAACGTTCGGTTCGGTCGGCGCTCGCTGATGCGCCAAGTCAAAATAAACGATGTTCTCCTGTCTTCATTGCCGCCGTCGTAGCCGCTCCCAGAAGCTGGCTGGTGCAACGCCCCGCCCAGCACGGTTCTCATCTTTTTCTCATCTTTTTCCTCTTTAACTCTCAACAAGCATTGTCAAAGAGTTTAGAGCGTAAGCTCACCGATTTATAAGACGCAATAGAGAATTCTAGACGGAACATTTATATATAATTTTACATTCCCCCGGAATATGTGTATATCAATTCTTCACATTTTTTTTGCTATATTTTGTGTCACGCGAGATTATCGTTACGCGTATGTAACATCCGCTTGTTATATTTTTCATTGATACGCATCGCAAATAAAACGTCGATAGCTACATCATTTTTTGTCACCAATTTACTTGACTTATTACTATTAGAAATTTGCCAAGTTTTACGTTGGGGCAAATGACACACAAAAAACTCTAATGCCAGATTTCGAATGACATATATCTTTCTTTTCTTCAATATACTTAAAATATCATTCTTTTCTTTCGGAATAACTGATGATACGAGCGATAAATGATGATACGATTCCTTAATTTCTTGGCATTTATAATAAAGAATAAAATCGGAAATCGTTAAATTTGTAAACATCAGATTTCACACACAAGCCACTTTTCATGATGTGTTCATTTCGGGGGGAGGAGGGGGGAGGGCAAGAGTGCAATTTATAAAAATAATCCGATAAAGAAATAATAAACC